TGGATGTAGGTATGGATTGTGATGAGAGCTGTAAGAGCCCCCCCCCCCCCCAAACGATTAAAACAAACAAGCAGAAAGAAAGCCATGCCCTTGAGCACCTCACAGAGCCTGTGTCTACTCTGCCACCGGAGGTGAGAGGCAGTCACTGGATGTGGCCCTTCTAGCCCTCATCCATTGTGTGCTTTTTCTGGGCTCTGCCTCTGGCTCCCCCACATTTTGGAGGGAACTCTCTGGTACAGGATCGAGGTGGCGTTAAGTCCTGACCTCAGTAGAGGGTGTGGACCAAGTCTCACCCTCTGTTTCCTTGGGAGTGTGACTTGAGGCCCCATGCTTCCTTTTCCGTGGGGATAGTGTTGGCTACAAAGACAAAGCACGCCTCCATCAAAGCCATTCCTCAGAGAGAAATCCCAGGGCCTTTGGAAGAGCACTACTGAGACCTCCTCTGAAGGGGGGGAGGGGCCGAGATCAGAGGTTGTGGCCCAGAGGCTCGGAGGAGCAGTGCTGAGACAATGGACCGGTGGGACAGGTGACAGGGGGACTGGCTTCCTGGCCCACGGAGGCAAAGGCCACGGGACCACGTGCCTGAGAGGCTGAGGACGGGAGAGAGGCTTGGTTGTGGACCCATGACTGTAGCCTTACTGTTTGGCGCACCTTCCTTAATAACCCTTTTAACTGTCTCATCTGTGAGCTCTGTGTGGCCATTGACACAGATCATGGAACCAGCATAGACGTTGAGGGGCGTGGAAGGAACGGTTGGTGTCAGCAAGGTAAAGGAGGTTGGAGCATGGAGGGAAGTCTGACCCCTGTCTTGTGGCAACCGGGAAGCTGGGGGGTGGGGTGGGGGTGGTCGGATATTTCCCCAAGCGGTTTATTGCATGGGGTCACCAGGGATTGGCATTGGCTTGACAGCAGCTGGCTTGGGTTTTGGTTGGGGACCTGGCTTGGATGTGTAGCTTGTAAAGACCCTCGTATGTGACGGTTTCCCATCACGTGACAATCAGGACAAGCAGGGCCTTCCGGATGCCCCTCCAGCCTAGCCTGGCCTTGTCCACAGAGCCAGGTGACCAGACATCTCCCTTTTGGCGGGACAGTCCCGATTTTCAACAATTTTCCCCGCGTCCCGCGGCATTTGAGCAAAGTCCCGACTTTTGGAAAGAATGCACGACAAGCTAGGGTATACGGTTTTCGGCTGCCTGTGGCTATTTCGCCAGGGTATGAGTTTTATCAATGGTGTCCCGCTTTTGTCCCGCTTTACCAATGTTAAAATCTGGTCACCTTACATTTGGCCCCTTCCTTACCCTCGATAACCCCGGGGAGGACATGGGAGGAGGCTGGTGGGTGGCTCTGTGAGCTGGCTGTGTGGGCCAGGGAAGCCCTCGGCAGCAGGTGCTCCACCCAGGGCCTTGCTGGGCCAGTACTCACGCTGGATGTCGATGGTGACAGACGTCTCCTTCCCACCGGGGAGGGCTTTGTTGGTGGCGCGGCACACGATGCGCTGCCCGTTCTCCACGTCCCCAGGGGAGATGAAGAGGGTGCTCACTATGCTCTCCCGCTTGCCGTCTCGAAGCAGAGTCTGGGGGGGTGGAGGGGGGAAGACACCACGTCACTTGGCCTGAGTGGGTGGGGGGACGATGGGCAGTCTCAGAGAGGACAGAGCGGGGGAGCCGGGTCAGTTCCGCAGGCCCAGGGCCAGCAGCCCCCTGCAGAGATTGAACTTGCCTGGTCTCCCTGGCCTGGCAGAGCCCTGGGCTCTGGACGGTGAACTCTGGAAGGGTTTCCACCGCCTGCGGACATCAGTCTGGACTTGCACGTCCGAAGTATAAAAGAAGCCAAGTGGCTCTAACAGAAGCCAGGCGGTGGGTCATATATGAAAATGGACTCATGTGTAGAACAGGCTGGAGTCCCTGGGTGCTGGTTAATGCTTTCGGCTGTGAAGGCAACCGCTGGCGTTCCAAATCCACGGAGAAAGAACTTGGTTTTAAAGCCTGAGAGGCCGCCTTCTGGAAAACCAGCCATTGACACTCATTGCAACACTTGGTCGTGAAGCCTTTGCTCTCCCTAGGTGGCTGTTTCTCCCCATTCTTCGGCTCTGCTGTCCTCCCATCCTCCACGCCTGATGCCTGCACCCAGGCAGCGCCCCAGGGCTGTGCATGTGCACTGGGGCCCAGAAGGCTGCGTCTAGCATGGGATGGGCAATGCTGAGCACTCAGACTGCTGGACGGGGAAGGAACTGGACTCCCTCCAGGCAGAGGTGCCGGATGCAGGCTAATTCTGTCCTCCTTGGAGCCAGGGAGTCGGCGCGTAGATGCCCCTTCTGGAAAGCTCACCTATCCAAACGAGGTTTCGACATGGACTCTGGGTCTTCCAAGGGCCCCGTGAGGATGAGGTCATTTTCCCCACTTGCTGGGCAGAGCTGAGGTCTACCCTCAGGAACCCGAGCCCTTAGCCCCCCATTCTGAGACCCTCGGTGTGGTTATGTTGACCCCACCTTATTAAGTGGGTAGTTAGAGCCCACCTCATCACAGGGATGATCAGTGAGCATTGTGTTGGCTGGCTGAGCCCCACGCTCTGGGCCCGCCCGCCCGCCCTGGAACAGCACGGAGCTCCTCTCCAGAGCAGCACAGCCTCTTTCGGCAAAGCTGGACTGTGAAATCCCAGCGGGGCAGGGGGCCTGGATGGTGCCTGGTGGGCTCTAACCCTGGCCAAGAGCACGTTCTTTCCTGGGACTGAGGCCTTCCCAGGGTGGGGCCAGAGGAGAGAGCCGCTAGTTCCCGGTCAGCAGGGGTGCGTCTGATTAGCCAAAGGGGTCAAGGTCTTGGGATCAGTGAGGGTTGTGTCCCCGCTTTTCACTCGCCGCCCCCCCCCCTGCCCCGCCAGGCCTTGTGTTAATCTGGAGCCTCCCCAAAGATGAGTGTGTGGGTGTCTGTCGTTCAGCTCCAAGTCAAAGCCAGAGCCGTGAGTGCTAACGCGTGGGCATGGCTCTTCAGCCAACCTCACAGAGTCTATAAATAGCCGGTAATAAAGAACAATTTCCTGGATGAAAATAAGACCTCGGGTAGGATGGGGAAGGAGGGGCTGTGCGTGGTGGGTGGGAGGGGAGTCTAATTGTTCCCCTCCTCCTTTCCTTGGGGCTAACAAAGCATATTTGCATAAGTCTGACACTGCCAGCAACCCCTCCAAATACCCCCCACTCAGCAGGGGGGCACGGAGGGTAGTCTGGGTGCTGCTGGGAGGGGCACGAAGCCCTGCTCCTAATTAGGCCTCCCTTCCTCCCGCACCCAGGGTGCACCTCTGCCTCAGAAACATGATTAATGGCATATTTACTGTATCTGGGCATTCGCCTTTCTGGGAAATGAGAATTCTGGTTCAAGTTGTTTGTTCCAGCTAATTAGAGAAAAAGGGAAGTGTGCCTGCAAAACAAAGGGAGAGCCAGAGATAGACCCCAGGCCTCACCCTGGCCCCTAGCGCCAGCGCTGGCTGCCCTGGAGGAGGGGGTGGGCCGAGGCAGGTTCTGGATGAAGCTGGCCTCTTCTCAGGTCCAATCTATCTTCCTCTCCTCATTCACCTGCCCCTGCCCCCAGCCCTCCTCCCCCCGCTGCCCCCTCCCCCCTCCAGTTCTCTGCCTTCCTCCCACTCCGTCTGTCTTTGCATCTTCACGCCCCGTCCCTGTCCCACAGAGGAATGGAGCCTGTGGACTTGGTGGCCTGCAAGGGCCTTCCCAGGCCATTCTGTCCCTCACAGATTTTTGTCACTGCCACACTCGCCTTCCCGCCCCGCCTCTTCCCTCCACTGAACTTGGCTCTGGAGACACCCTGGGCCCTGGGCCCCCAGCCTCCCCTTCAGAAACATTCATCAGCATGCAGATCAGCTCCTGGAGGGGAAGTGAGGGAGTCACTCGGTTCCTGGGCCCCGTCTCTTGGCAATTCACACCGCCCTGCCCAGGCCTCACTGGGGCGCCCTCTCCATAGTTCAGGAGGGCACTGCAGTGCTGCCGTACCCTCTCAGGGGACCCTCCTAGAAAGTCCCAGGCCATGAGGCCCCCAGGCTGCTCAGGAAGATGCATTAGGATGCAGCCCGCCGGAGGGAGGGAGCACTGGGGCTTGGGGTGGGGCTCTGACTTCTGTCTGAAGCCAGGGCTTTAGTCAGGTGCACTTCCCCACACCACGGGCCAGTAACAAGGTGGCCAGAGCCCAGGCTGCAGGTGGCTTTCTGCCCTGCTGCCCATCGGGCATGTGAGCAGGCTCCTGCTTCTGCTTGGAGGGTGTTTCCTGGGCCCCATCAGCTCCTAAGCCGGGCAGTAAGCCTCTGTCCAGTAATGGCCTCCAAGGACTTTCCCTAACTGCCCCTGGGACTGCCCTGGGCCTTGTTGGAACTCCAGCTGCAGCCTGTCTGTGTGCCCACCCTCCACTACTTTTACCATTCACCTCCCCTGTTTCTTTTCCCAGGAGTGGCCCAGGAGCCTGGGTACCGGCAGCCACCCTGCCCTCAACAGAGGCCCCTGGACCTTGACAGGGCAGGGAAGAGCCAGGCTGGCCCAGGAGATGGGAGGGCTGCCTCTGCTAGAGGAGGGGCAGGCCAGGAAGGCTGGGAGCTGCAGCCCCCGTGCTCACTAAGAGGTGCTCATGTATATGCAAACAGGCTTGGAGAGAGGTCTGATTGCCTGGCAACAGACCTCTCTGCTCTCTCCCCATCCTACCTCCCCCACCTACTTGGTTCCTCTTGTAGCTGCTGCTGCGGGAGTGGGCTATTGTCCCCCACTTGAATAAGCCCCAGAGTAGAGAAAGCAGAGGTCTTACCCCCTGCCCTGCAACCCTCAGGGTCCTCAGCCAGTGCCCTAAGCTGGAAGGGGGGCCCTTCACACAGGAGGCCAGGATGAGGCCCTGGCCATGGACAAGTGGGGTGTGCCAGTGATAGGGTGAGTGGTGGGAGGGCAGTGCTCAGCTGGCCAGGGCTCCATGGAGTTCATGGGTCCTCGCATGGAGGGTGGGGGCTCTTGCTTCTTCTGAACCGGTCTCCATGCTTTTCCCAGCATTGGGCCCCAATGAGAAGTGTGTGACTGCCGCCCCCTACCTGTCCCCTCCCCAGGGGAAGGAGCACGTGGAGCAAGATGCTGGCTCCCAGGGGAAGTTTCTCTCTGGACCCAAGCCGGTCTTCTCCTCTTCCACACCCTCTCCTTGTCTGCCTGCTTTGCTTTGCTCTGCCTCCTGCCCCTTTCCGCTGCCAGGGCTAGAGCCTGCTCTTCCTAGACAGGAAGCGTATGCCCTGCTATCCCATGGCCTGGGGGTTTGCTTCCAGACACCCATGCACAGGGCCCTGGCCAGTCGGCTCGCCCAAGCATCTGGGCCCTGTGATTAAGGAGGGGCGCCCAGCAGCCTGTGCTGGGTGCTGGTGGAGGGGAGGGGGTCCTGTCTCCTCCTAGGGGAAAGGCCGGGCCCCTCCAGGAACGATGCAATTCTTCCCCATGTGGCTATATGATGAAGGAGCAGACCGAAGATTCCAGGGAGTTGAGGTGGGTCCGGCAGGGCCTTGCGAGAGGGGGCCATTAGTACTAGCTCACATTTATCCAGCCTTTTTACAAGGTGCTTTAACTGCACACTATCTTTGGGTTTTCATCTCCTCCTTGCTTTGCCGCTGGGTGGGGAAACTGAGGCAGGCAGTGAGTGACTGTTCCACAGGGACGGAGCCCATGTCTGACATTGTGAGGCCTGCCACACCTGGGAAATGGAGGTGCACACCACCCTCAAGGCCCGCGAGGGTTGAAGGAGGGACCCTCCTGCACTGTGGGCAGGCACTCGCCCAGGTCAGTGCTCATGAGCACAGGTGGAGCCAGGGCTACAGCTTCTGCAACTTGTAGGTGGGGATGTTGAGACATAGTACGGTAGACCACACAGCTGCAAGGTGGTGGGCCCTGGCTGCAAATTCAGCCCATCTTCGCTTGATGGGTGCTCTTGGTCCATGGGCCCCTGCAGTGCTGTTACAGGAGGGGGCTCGGGGTGGGAGGCAGCACTGGGCCTCTGGTAGGGACTGAAATGTGTTCCTCAGATGCATGTGGGAACACTAGCCCCTGTATCTTGTGGGTGTGAGCCCCTTCTGCGTCCTGCTGAGGAAGCCTTTGCGGTGCAGGGTGGGTGCTAACCCTAAGCCCGTCTCAGCGCCAGGAACAGCAGCCCCGACACGGAGCCGTGCGCACAAGCTGGGGAGCACGGCGCGACCGTGAGGACTGTCAAGGACCCAGCAACGGGGCTACCGAGCTGGGCGAGACAAGGGGCTCCCTTCCCCTAGAACCCTCGCACGGTCTCCCTGGGTCCAGACTTCCTGCCTGAATGGTGAGAAGATAGAACACTGTTCTTAAAGCGCCCCCCTGTGGCGTTTCTGTCACCGCTGCAGCAGGAAACCCAGGGGGCGGGTGCCCCCTGTGCTCTCAGCCTGGGGTTGCAAGCTGTGCAGCACGTGCTGGATGGAGACTCCCCTCCAACTCCGCTCACAGATGAGGAAAGGAGGCCCAGGCAGCGGGAGGAGCTGTTGGGGGCTTCGCTGCCCTGACTCCTTTCCAGCGGGCTCTCCACTGCCTAAGGTGCCCTCCCAGGTGGCAGGGGCATGAGCAGGTAGGGAGGCCGAGACTGGAAGTGTGTTCTCCCTATTCTGGGCGCAGGAAGCAAGGGGCACTCCCAGGGCATGCTGGTGGCTGATTCTGGAGGTTGCGAGACGGGGTAGCACCGTCCTTTCTTTTTGCAGATGGGCTGTGGTCTCCGTGCCCATGAACCCTGGAAGCAGCCAGGCTGGCCTAGCTTCCGTCCCTCACCCGCCTCTGGATGATGTATTCCCTTTGTCATATATTTTTATTTCAGAACAGCAGCGCGGCTCCAGCCCAGGAAGTAAGTGGGAGGATTTATTTCTCAGTAGACAGCTTCCCCCAGGGATGGTGTTGTGCCCAAGGGAAGGTATTTGTTTCAACGCTGGGCAGGGGCCAGGTTTGGTGGGCGGGCCTGAGATGACCTCTCTGGGCTGGAAGGTCACACCCCTAGAGTGGGGACAGGCCTGCCTCACATGCTTCTCTTTCTAGGACCTGGGCTTGGAGGAGGTGTGGTGTGGGGGTTTTGTTGGTGGTTCGGGGGGAGGTGCCCCACCCTATGCTCTGAGGCCATGGGGAGAGGGAGCCTAGGGTTCTGGAAGCTTGAGCCTCCGAGGTCCTGGTACAGCCTCTGGAGGGGCTCTTGGGACTCTGGGGGCCTGCCCTTATGTGCAGCTCTGCTGGAAGAGACAGGGTCCTCGGCCTGCCATGCCCACATGGCAGCTGAGCAGGCAGTGACTGTGGATCCTGCCTGGGGACTGTCCATCTTCACAGGCTCGGCAGCACGCGGCCCTTGTCAAAGGCTCTCTTTGGGTGGGGTGGGCGGTGGGTGAGGGACTGTGCAGGGCACTTGTAACCTAGATGGCCCCTGTGTGAGAGAGGCACCCCAGCAGGGTACAGCGCTTGGGGAAGGACTGTGGGCTGGAGCTCAGCCCTCCCTGACCCTCAGCCAGGTGCCCTTGGACAGGGCAGAACCTGAATAGCCCTACCTGACTGTCCTCAGAGGGTTGTACTAGACTCAGCGAATAAAACAACACTGGAGGCCCAGTTAGATTCGAATTTCAGAAGTACGACGAGTAATGTTTTAGAGCAAACATAGCCTGCACGACATTGGGGACCTATGGACAGTAAAGAGTTATCTGTTGTTTAGCTGAACTTCCAATTTAACTGGGGTCCTGTGCTTTATCTGGCAACAGTAGGCCTTGGCCTGCCTGTGAATGTGACCTTGGAAACAGGGTCTTTGAAGATGCTATCAGTTAGTCTGAGGTCATACTGGGGCAGCCCGTTGCTTGGAGTGGAATGTTTCTCCTCAAGGTGACTCCATTCAGTATGGCTGTGTGTCCCAGCAGAACTGGCCTCCATCACTTTGATGGCTGATTTGGGGGAAGCTTGGTACTGGGCCTTTCTCACAGTGCACCTGTGGGTGGACTGGAATAGGCGCGGCTGCTTCCTGAAGAGAGAGCAGCTGAGTGTGCAGGCCTTCGGCATCACAGGGGCTCCCACACAAGAGGAGGGTGGGCCTGATGGCGACCAGGGTGACCCCGCATGAAGGAGAAGAGTCAGAAACACACAGCCAAGAGGCACGTGCCTGCCGAGCCATGCCAGCGAGAGTACCACGTGCTTCCAGAAGGGGGGGGGGGGAGGCACCAAGGGGTCTCTCATTTCTTGGAGAGAACTTCGCCCTGCTGCTGACACCTGAATTCGAACTTCTGATCCCCACAGCTGGGAGACAATACACTTCTGTATTTATAAGTTCCCTGGTTGGGGGTGTTTTTTTTATGGTAGCCCTTGAAACAAATACAGGCAGAGAAGTAGACAAAGAGGGAGAACAACAAAAACATCTACAGTACGGGGGGGGGGGGTTCCCCAAGGAAAGCCAAGCCCCCTCTGGCCTCTCCTCCCAGGCCCAGGGCTCACCTTGGAGTAGGTGGCTCCGTTGATAACCTCTCCTTTTTGCAACCAGACGATGGAAGCTGCAGGCTTGGCATTGTTGGCGTGGCAGGTGAGGTTGAGGGGGTCTCCTGCCCGCAGGCTGATCACGGGCCCCCCTAGGATGACGGGGTCATCGGGAGGCACTGTGGGGGAGAGCAGCAGTCAGGTTGGGCCCGTTGCATTGTACGGCAATGATGACAATGACCACACTTTCATAAAATGTGTAATTCCCAAACGTTAAGACAGCAATAGCCACAGCAGCAAGGACTTCTGACCCGCCCACCCACGTTCATTCTGCTCACAGTCAACGCATGAAGGGATGGGGGTCGGGGAGGGGTGGGCAGGCTCCTTAGCCTTGGTTTATGGATTGGGAAAGTGAGAGGCTGCCGCTGAATTGCTATTTGTGGTTTCCGATTATTTTGAAGAACAAAGTCATGTCTGTTGTCTTGTTTAATCCGCACCACAACTTTGTAAGGTCAATGTGATTATCATATCCCAAATATTCCAGGCCAGAAACGTAGTGCGACAGGATTAAGAGGCTTGCCCAGGCGCACATGGGGAATGACCCATGACCCGTGGCCATGCCAGGCCCTGCCCAGCTGAGGGGTCTGTCCCCAGGTGCTGGACCGTCCTCGGCTTTTCCTTCACACTGGGTTCTTGAAGAGCCACTCCACCCCTTTCGCCTTAGAGCGAGAGTAGATCTCTCTGCCCTGGCCCATCACTGCGTGTCCTAGTGTGCTCCGCAACCGTGACTCCAGCCAAGAGGAAGGCGAAGCAGGCTCCCCCGGCCCCTCAGAGGCGTCCGAGTGCCCAGGCCAGGCCTGTGTGGCTGCCTCCCTCCCCAGGGCATTTTCCTATCCAGTCCATCTTGGCCTGCTCTGGCTGCCTCCTGCCTGGCCTTGGGGGAAGTTGGGCCTAGAATGAGTACACTCAGTGAGTGGCTCAGCCCCCTACCCTCCCACCCCCCACCCCCTATCCCCCCATTTTTCTTGTTTCCTGGGGAAAAACAACCCTCATGGCTTCCAAGATCCAATTTCCATCCCACCCAGGATCCTGGCCCGGGAGGAAGCCGGCCCCTTTGGGAAGGTCATCCAACCCCGCCCAGCCTTGGGTGGCTCTGAAGCCAAGCCTCCCCAGGAGGCCCAGTGTGGATGGGGATGAGGGCTGAGCTGCCAGGCTGGAGGGGTGGCCGGTGTGGGCCGAATAATGAAGACAGCCTCCCCCAGCCCCACCCATTGACTACCCGCTCATTAGGCCTCTTAAACCACGAGGGGTGGGCGTGGTCAGATGGAAAAAGCTGGCTAATTAAGGCTTTTTATAAAGGGTGGGCGAGACTAGTTGCCAATGGAGGGAATTTCATCTCCATGTAATGCACTAGGCCCCTTCCAGCAGGGGGCTCGGGCAGAAGGGACCTGCCCTCACACTTCAGAAAGGTGAGGGGCTCCCGTACCTTCTGTCTGCCTTCCCCAGGCCCCAGGCCGAAGGCATTGCCACTGCTCAGGGAGCTCTGTGGGCTGGGAGCACCAGACAGCACGGAGGGATGGGAGCGTTGCTGTTGTTTCCGGTCATCAGTGGACCCCTGCCCCGACTCACGATGACCCAGGCACAATGGAAGGCGTCACTTCTTTCCAGTCTTGCGCCATCCTCCCGAGCTGGGGCCCGGACCCTCTTGATCCCTGGTTGCTTCACAGTAGACGGCCAGCCTTTTCTTCCTGGTCCATCTTAGTCTGGAAGCTCTGCTGAAACGGGCTCAGCATCAATGCCTCCACTGGCCTGGGTGGTGGCTGTGCATGGGGTGCTTTGTGAATTGAACCCGGGTCTCCCACATGGAAGGCAAGAAGCCGACCATGGAGCCCCCTCAGCCCCCATTTGGAACTTTCTCAAACACTCATCACCACGGAATCCATTCTAACTCATAGCAACCCTACAGGACAGAATAGAACTCCCCTGTGGGTGTCCAAGACTGTAACTTCACAGGAGTAGAAAGTCCCATCTTTTTGCGGCTGGTGGTTTTGAACTGCTGACCTGGTGGTTAGCAGCCCAACCTGTAACCACTTAGGCATAGAATAAATAGCTGGCCTGCTCTTATCTTTGCAGTCAGTGACCCACATGATGAGAGATTGCCCCAAAGCAGGCGTTTGAAGACCAGGGAAGCCATTCCTTGTCTGGGATTGAATTCCTTGGGGCATCAAGTGAGGGAGTAAACTGGAACCTCTGAAGGCCCTCTGCCCCCCCACCCCACCCCCACCCCCCCTGCACTGACGTTTGCTGGCTCTCAACCTGGAGGTAGCCAGTAGCTGTGGATTCAGGGTTGCGTGGGCTGGGAGAAGGGTGGGAGTAGCTTAATGGATACAGAACTTCTGTTTGGGGCAATGAAAAAGGCTTGGAAACAATAAGTGGTAATGCTTACACATTATCATGAGCATAATTAATGGCACTAAATTGTACAGATGAAAACGTCACATTTTATGTTCTATGAGTTTATATTTTAATCACAAAAATGCTATTGTCCCTGGTAAATTATATAATGTTATTGTTATTTCATAGCTTACACTGTCCATTGTTTCCCTTTACCCACATTTCTGTTATGCGTCCCCTTGGGGTGGGGGTGGGGCTATATATCCAACCTTGTGATGAGTTCCCCCTTCCTCCCCCTTTCCCCTCCCTGGCCATCTCCCTCCCCTCATGATATTGCTACTTCCACTCCTGTTCCAGAGACTTATCTGTCCTGAATGCCATGTGTGGAGAGCTCTTATCTGTACCGTGTGTTCTCCAGTCCAGCAGATTTGTAAGGTAGAACTGGGTCATGGTAGTGGGGGTCGGGGGAAGAAAGTATTCAGGAACTAGAGGAATGTTGTGTGATTCCTCGTTGCTAGACTGCACTTTGGTTGAATCATCCCTTCCTCATACTGATTCTGTGTGTGTGTGATATCCAATTATTTACAAATGGGCTTTGGGTCTCCACTTCCACCCCCCTCTTTCACTTCCATATCATTGTTTGTTTTGGATTTTTTGATACCTGATGCCCGATCCCGGCAACACCGCATGATCACACAGGCTGGTGTGCTTCTTCCATGTGGGCTTATTGAACAATATATAATTGATTAAGGATACATGAGGGAGGGGTAAAAAGAGGAGCTCATACCAAGGGTTCAAGTAGAAAATATTTTGGAAATGATGGCAACATGTACAAATATGCTCGCTACCATCAATGTATGGAATATTATAGGAGCTGTAAGAGCCCCCAATGAAATGGTTTTTAAAAATGCTATTGTCCAGCTAGTCCCAAAACGAACTAATTTGAAGCTCGGCAGGTGGACCCCGGCACCAGGGGCGCTGGCAGCTCCCAGCTGGTTTTGGTGTGTGGCCAGGTTTGAGATCCAACCAGCTAGGGGTTTTTGCTTAGGTGATGACCAACCAAAAGGCTGGCAGTTCAAAGCCACCCAGCAGTGCTACAGAAGAAAAGCCTGGCCGCCTCCGCCCATCAAGAGGACAGCCCACAAAACCCTGCAGAACAGTTCAGCCCTGCAGCACACGGGTGTCAGGAGCTGGCACCCACCGGCCACAATGGGCTTGCAGTGGGGAGACCAGGGAGGCGTTTCCAAAACAGAAACACAAAACACAACAAACAAAAATCCAAGGCCTCCCTTCTCACTTCTCTGATGTGGTGTTCTTGGGATATTGGGATGAGGGGCCGGAAGAGTGGGGCTGGGCTGTGAGTACTCAGGCACACACGCTCTCACACACACAGGCATCCACCCTCAGAATGAGCCCTGATTACATCTTCCCAAATAAGTGGTTATCATACCGGTTATTCATGTAGCCATGCATTATTGATTGGCCTTCGCCTCATTACACACCAGATGGGGGTAGGGGGGTGTGCAGTGGGGGCTGCGGTGTGTGCTGGGTGGGGGTGGGCAAGTAGCAGGGATGTTTGGGGGCCAGCAGGCTGAATAGAAATCAACAGGCCCTATGCAGCTGCAATTTGGATGGAAGGAGGGCAACTCATTACCTCTCCATTCAGACTCGGGCCCAGACTCGGGCTGGGAGGGGCGAAAGTCTCAGAGTTTCGGAGCCCTGAGATGCATTATTCATACTGCGCGCCCCCCCACCCCCTACCCCCGCCAAAGGTTGGTTATTATCCTGAACCACTATAGAGTTTGGTCTCCTAATTTTTAATCACAGGGAAGGTGGAAGTATTAGCCTTTTGTGATTAATCCAGAGATAAAAATAGTTGACTGCTTTGGTGTTGTGCTTGTTGTCAGGGGGAAAATGCTTTAACTGTTGGGTGACTGAGCCCTGGGGCAGACCTGAGTGGGTCCCAGTCAGCACCCATCCACCCCGTGGGGACCAGCCTCTGATAGGGCCTAGCCTGGGGAGAACCCCGGACCAGTGGGTGGCAAGGGGAGGGGCTCAGTCTCCTGTGCATGTGCTTATGCAAGGACTGAAGCGTCTGTTTGGACTCAGGCGTCACAAGGGCAGGGAGGCCACGCTTCCTCTGTCCCCATTCATTGTTCAGGATTTGGGCAAGCAGCTGGGGATTCCAAGCCCACCTACGCCAGCCTACAGAGCCGCTGCCCCTGGGCACGACTGTGCACACACAGGGTGCAGTGTGGGGTGCTCATTCTTCTCCTTACCTATCGTGGGGAGTCTCTGGAATTCCCTCAGCTCTGCTGCCTGCTGAAGGCGAGGGGGTCTTGTGTGGAAAGGCGGGGCAGGGAGACAGCACACAGTGATGTGTCTGCATGGTGGGGAGAGAGGGAACGGAGGCCCCAGAGGCATGTGGATGGCCCGAAGGCCCCAGGTCACCTGGCGAGTGAGGGCTAAGGAAGCTGGGGATGGGCTAGGAAGGGCATCCTGGCTCTACCCAGCGTGGACAGCTCCCACCTGCTTCGTGTCCTGCATGCCACTGGTGCACAAGAGACTCTGCTGCTGAAAGCTCGGTGCCACTCATTCTCAGAAGCGCTCCTTTGGGCAGAAGGTCTTGGACAGGAGCTAAGCGGCCCTGTGGCCCTTTTCTACTGGACATCTGCTGAACAGTGTGCCGAGTTGGGGCCAGGAGGTCTGGAGTGCGTCTTCTCTCAGTCCTGTGCCCAGGGACCTGTGGACTCCTCCAGCTCCCTGGGCTTGCTGGCCTCTGCTA